AAGATTGGGCTTCTTTTTCCTGATGAATGGCAAAAGTATTGCTTTTTGGGAGGTTTACGTTTAAACCTTTATCCTGGAATCATTTCAGTTTTAACAAAGCCTCGTTGGGCGTCGGCAGCCACAACGATTTAGGCGTTGACACGGCACTCATCACTGTAAGGTAAAGGTCCCGGGTTCGAATCCAGCGGCCCTGGACACACACACAAATGGGCTTTTTTTTCAAAAACAACGGCACCGCGAGGGTTGATATAACCTCTGCTGTTGAGAACCCTCGTAAAAAAAAAAAAAATAAAAAACAAAGGCTGGTCCAATTTGCCTCTGATTGTTGTGACTATGTTATCTACATAACATTGCCGGTCATAGCACATTATGAGTAGCATCCTAGGAGATCTACCATTACCAATGGCAATAAGGCTGGACTTCCTTGGGACCAATTTTGTCTACAAAATATACTTTTTTTGTCCATAGAACCAATTGTGCATTCACACTGCGCATACTATTTTGTTTACGATTTTCATCTTTCGATGATATTTTTATATTATCATCATATTACGATTATTCGGAGTAATGCTACAGCGTTTGAATGAAGTAAAAAATTCAGAAAAAATGTACGGAGTTGTTAAAACTATTCCTAGCTCCTTGGGAAGGTTTCATGTCGTAAAAATTAATAAAATATTAATCCTGTCGCGTGGCCGTTCAAAGGAGCCGAGTGGCATTTCGGGAACGGCCGGGTCCGTATTTCTATTTTTTTTTTTTTTTTAATTCTCCAGCCGAAATCCCATTTTTTTCGCCCGTTACACCGGACTGATTTCGAGCGACCCGTCGGCCGGACCAGTTCCCTTGACACGGACGGTCGAAATGTGGACGTCCTGAATGAGGACTGGGCCCGTGGAATGTGGACCGGCCCACTCGGCCACTGGCACAATGGGATGGAAGGCTGGCAAGTGAAAAACTCCGCTTTCTCCCAGTTTCTATCCTCCGCCCACAAACGTTTCGAGATGACATGGCCGATGGCACCGACGGGAAGAGGGGAGACAATAGATAATAAGGACGGTTCGAAACGGCTACCTTGCCGGCCACCGGACATATTCTACAGAAAATGTCCTCACAATTAAAAACGGAATTCTCCCTGTTCAGATACAGACGGAAGTAACCGACTTAAAAGTCAAATTACAAAACGAAATATTTTACATAAACGTCAAACTGCCTGGTGAAATTTTTCTTTACTTCAACTCCGTCACAGAAGATCTGCTTTGACAAGCCTAGAAGCAATTGTATGTAATCCACGGAAACACGAGACCCACGGCTGCGGATAATTGATATTTTATGTCCTTTTTCGAAACGCGACAAGATTTTTTCAAACTGGCGGACTAAGATGCCCATCGCATAAACACCGCCTTTTCCTTTCTCCGTCTTGACTGACACCACAATTGCCTCGATAAACCTTAGCCTCTGATACTGATGACGGCTTAAAACAATCGACTGCCTCAACACAAAGGATATTAACCTATCACACGACGATTTCAGAAGCTAAGTCTTCATCACAATAGTGACATACTCGATATCTAGAATATTGTCTGTGGCCCCTTTTAACCGAATATGACAATATCGTATCTCAAAAATGCTTTCCCTTGTTATTTATAGATTAGATATACAAAAAACCGATATTATTTTTTAATAATCAAACGAAACTAAGGATTTTATAGTTCAAAAACAGTCACTGAGCATTGCAGGAAATTAAAAACAACCAAATAGAAGAAATTACCAGACTCACCTTGTCAACGGTCCAAATTGGTTTAAAAAAGAACCTTGGCTAATTTTAATTTATTATTTTTTCAATTTTATCACATGAAACTGATCAAACAGAGCTAAAATACCAAAGATGGAAATTGTTGAAAAAAAATTGTTTGGAAAAAAACAACCTTGGCCTATATTCTGATAAAAATTTTGCCGATGGAACGACTGGCAGGGTGAAAAGAAGCGAAAATAAGCGGACCAATCTTATTTTGTCAGCCATCTGTTCGAACTTGATAATCGGTTGTATTTGATTTTTTTTTAATTTTATTTATTTATTTTTTTATCAACCCTCGGGGTGCCCCGTGTTTTGGAAAAAACAGCCCATTTGTAAGTATGTCGGGCTCGAATGCAGGGCCGCTGGGATTCGAACCCGGGACCTCTAATTTACAGTGATGAGCGCCGTTTCAACGCCTAAACCGTTGCGGCCACCGACGCCCCTTTTTGTATTTGATTAAAAATCATTATTATCACAATGATCATTCTATATAGAATGGAAACAAGACCAAATAAAACGATAATAAGCGGACCCACATTTTATTTTATTTATTTAGAAATCGTGAGATGCGGTCTGGTGTGACGGTATTGAGCCCTGAAGATGATCTCAATAAAGATCGAAACGTTGGGACAATAAAGAAAATGTTTTTCTGAATCCTACATCACACCAGACCGCATCTCACGATTTCTAAATAAATATCGATTAACGATCACTAATCACCACACATTTTATTTTATTTATTTTTTGTTTATTTATTTATTTTTTATGAGGGTTCACAACAGCAGAGGTTATAGGCAACCCTCGGGGTACCGGTTTTTTTTTTTTTTTTTTTTAACGCCCATTTGTTAGTATGTCCGCTAGATTCGAACCCGGGACCTTTACCTTACAGTGATAAGCACCGTGTCAACGCCTAAACCGGGGCGGCCACCGACTCAACGTTCGTATTCTTCAAGTTCGACCTTTTGATCTTTCTTTTAACACCCCATAGCCCGTTAAACTGTTAAGGAATTTGGAAAATATAGCGAGACCATGCGGACAAACCTACTCAACAGTCGAAATAAATAAAACAAACCTGGGCTTATATTTAAAGAAATATTTCCATACATATTACCAATCGCGTTAAACAGATCGAAACACGTAGAATCAAATAAAGGAAGACTAAACGGACCCATCTTCTCATAAAGATCTCACTAGATCGTACTTTAATATTTTTATTTGCACTGAACTGTCGATTTATACTGTACAATGTCTGATCTAATACAGCGAGACTAAGCGGACCCAACTTTTCAAGGTCGAAGCTGTTAAATAAAAATAAAACAATCTTAACTTACGTTTAAGTAACGACCTTATTAATTTGCACTTGGCTGCTACATTGAGGCTTAATAATCAGTTAAATTGTGAGATGTTTGATCAAATACACCGAGACGAGACGGACCCACCTTCTCAAAACAACACTCCTAAATAAAAGAAACCTAGACATATATTTAAATAAAAGTCTAACTAGATCGAATCTATAATACATTTAATTGCATTTAAAATTCGCATTATTCTGAAACCCTTTGATCAAATAAAGCGAGACTAAGCGGACCCCACCTTCTCAATGGTTCAAGATGTTAAATAAAAGCAACTTTGTCTTATATTTGCATAATGTTCTCACTAGATCGAACCTTTGATCGTTGTAATAATGCTTACCAATTGTGGTAAAGTGATCAAATACAGCAAGACTGAGCGGACCCAATACGAGCTTCTTCGAGATAATTTTGACCTTAAACAAATAACCCCCCCGTACAATTTTTTGAACACGAATTATTAATTTAAATGCTAATAAATGCGGTTTACTTTTCAGTACATAAATCAGTATTTTTCATTTTCCAACATTAGCGTTAGGGTATAAGCAGGGAGAGGCAAGTCGCATTACATATCATTTCTGAGACTTTCACCTGCACTTTTTGCATTTCCTAACATCAAATTATCCAACAAATTTGTATAAAGTGTAAAACAACAGAATCAAAAACTGGTATTGGTCATCCATTTGAAGTCAGGGTTATAAGCAGGGAGAGGCAAGTCGCATGACTTATACCATTTCTGAGACGTTCACCTGCATTTTTGGCATTTACTAACACCAAATTATCCAACAACTTTGTATAAAGTGTAAAACAACAGAATCAGTAGCTGGTATTGGTCATCCATTTGAAGTCAGGGTTATAAGCAGGGAGATGCAAGTCGTTTGACTCATACCATTTCTGAACCTTCCACCTGCACTTTTTGCATGTAATATCAAATTATCCAATATATTTTTATAAAGTGTAAAACAACCGAACAGTAGCTAGTACTGGTTATCCTTTGACGTCAGGGTATAAGCAGGGAGAGGCAACTCGTCTGACTCATACCATTTCTGAACCTTTCATCTGCACTTTTGCATGTTATATCAAATTATCCAACATATTTTTATAAAGTGTAAAACAACAGAATCAATAGCTGGTATTGGTCATCCATTTGAAGTCAGGGATATAAGGAGGGAGAGGCAAGTCGCTTGACTCCTGCCATTTCTGAAACTTTTGCCTGCGTTTTTTCCATTTAATATCTACAGATTATCTAACAAATTTTCATAAATTGTAAAAAATCAATTAGATTTAATCGGCAATAAGCACATCAGGAAAATACATTAAAACATGGCCGGACCGAAATACGTTTGTACAAATCAAGGCTATAATTTGTTTGCTTTATAGTTCATAATTTTGTTTTCGGTAGTGTAGGTTTGTGAACATTTTGTTAACATTACTCGTGCTATGAACTGGCTGCCAAAATATTTTTACAAGAATTGTTATGTTTTTAATTATGTATTTTTGAATCAAAGTTGATTTAATAATATATAATGAAAAAGTTAGTGTCACGAGCGGGATTCGAACCCACGACCTCCGGCTGAATACGCCGCTGCTCTAACCACTTGTGCTATCGTGACTACTACCACTAGGGCACCAACTCCCCATCTCAACTTTGAATTTTCCCTCCTTTTTGCCATTTTTCAACTATCATTGGGTTCGAATCCCGCTCGAGACACTAACTTTTTCATTTCAACCAAAACTTTACATAAAAAGTTTAATTAATTGAAAGAAGTAATTTGGTCAATAGACCACTAAATATAATGGATATAATATATTGTTTGTTAGAATTGCGATTATTCCTAAAATATTTTTTTTTATTACAGATTTTAGACTGCAGTTTATGTGGATGTTGACTGCAGCCCCCAAGACGAAACGAGCTTAGACGGCAGAGAGAAAGAAAAAAAATGTTGTAATCGTCTTTTTTTGTATAAATAAACTTTTATTGGAAACCGTTCTTTTCTTAAACCCCGGGCCCGGAAATATTCATTTGGGAGTCCTGCCGCAGAGTGAATTCTCTCCGATTGGCTTTTACACGCAAGGTACGAGAATCGATTCGATCCGGGCATTGTTTCACCGCGGCATGGATCGTCGGCGCATCCCAAAGCCGCCGGCATAAATTTTTACAACGCCGCGATTCTTCAAAGGCTGCTGGAAAGAAAGTCTGCCTTTTACCGGCTTCGGCATCCGGAAATCGTCGAACAATGGTCTCAATCCTGTCACGGCCGTTATCCTTTGACTCATCGGTGAAAAGGGTTTAAATTGGAAAATGGGTGAACGACGGAGCATAAAACACGCAGCATTGTTCTCAGAAGAATTATTGAAACACTGTAAAAATGTTTCTATTGTACTCTTACAGTCATAACCGAAACCAAAGTTCTTAATTATCTACGTTTATTTGAACAGTAAATAAAATCCGAGTGAGGAAAAAATAAGATTAATCGTTTACAGTCTTAATTGCGTTTGAAACTGGTTCCCTTTCAATTCAGGAGTCGGCGATCCTGAAACGTTCCAGGCGTAAACGGTTTCTCAAATCGCAATTAATTTCGTGTCACGGTGTCGCCTACTCCGTGATAGGGCAAATAATGACCAAAGCCTCAACGCCTTTTTCGACTGACTGTCAGGTAAAGAAAGTGCTGGACGGTCCTGGAATTACATGATACAATAACAGAAACACTCTGGTCCATATGGAAACTTGATTTTCTTACGGAATGATAAGTACAGAGCTCCTATACAACATATAATAAAATAATTAAATTTTTTAAATCCATAAAAATATACTCAATGGAACCCAAATGGGGAAAAAAAAGGTAAAAAGTGTGTGGTGTTTAGTGACCGTTAGCCAATGATTATTTGGAGATCGTGAGATGCGGTCTGGTGTGACGTACGTTTTAGAAAAACATTTCCTTTTCATGCCAACGTTTCGATCTTTATTGAGATCATCTTCAGGGCCTGGGATTTATAAACATTGTTTAATTGTACAAATACATGCAGGATGTGAAAAAATGAATTTATACAATGCTAGACATTTTAGATAAAATAAATAAAATGACTATACAACGCTCGAAAATTTTAGATTAAAAAAATTCTTAATTTATACAATGCTAGAAAATTTTAGATTAAAAAAATGAATTTATACAATGCTAGAAAATTTTAGATTAAAAAAATGAATTTATACAATGCTAGAAAATTTTTGATTAAAAAATGAATTAATATCCTTTTTTTGGGGGTGATTTATAAATATTATTTAAATTTTACAAATACATGTAGGATGTGAAAAAATGAATTTATACAATGCTAGAAAATTTTAGATTAAAAAAATAATTTATACAATGCTAGAAAATTTTAGATTAAAAAAAAGAGTTATTTATACAATACTAGACATTTTAGATAAAATAAATAAATAAATAAAATGACTATACAACGCTAGAAAATTTTAGATTAAAAAAATTCTTAATTTATACAATGCCAAAAATTTTAGATAAAATAAATAAAATGAATTTATACAATGCTAGAAAATTTTAGTTAAAAAAATTATTTATACAATGCTAGAAAATTTTAGTTAAAATAAATTATTTATACAATGATAGAAAATTTTAGATATAAAAAGAATTATTTATACAATGCTTGAAAATTTTAGATTAAAAAATGAATTTAAATTCTTTTTTTTATCTAACATTTTTTAGCATTGTATAAATTCATTTTATTTTTTTATTTTATCTAAAATTTCTAGCATTGTATAAATTAATTTTTTTAATCTAAAATTTTCTAGCATTGTATAAATTAATATATTTTTTAATCTAAAATTTTCTATCATTGTATAAATTAATTTATTTTATCTAAAATGACTAGCATTGTATAAATTCACATCCTACATGTATTTGTAAAATTTAAACAATGTTTATAAATCCCAGGCCCTGAAGATGACCCCGTCAAAGATCGAAACGTTGGCAACTCAACTGCACCTCACCATCTCCAAATAATCAAGGGTAAAAAGTTTGAAAAAAATCCCTAGGGCGAAACTGGAAATCAAACCCAAGACAAATGAAAACAAGCGTCTCCCCCTGACAAACTCAAGCAATATTAGATTCTATTAATAGTTCAGTAAACAAAATTTTCCAGCCTAATAAAAATGGATTGAATATAAGCCAATCACAGGCACTAATTTAATCATTATTCTTCAATTATTGTATTGCAAATATAGTCATTAAGGTAAGTATATTCTCATTATTCATGAATGCACTCTAGGCATGGAAATGTGATAATAGACGAGCTGTTGTTTAAACTATAATCGGACGAAACATTTTGGTCGGAAAACCTGACCAAAGAATTCAATATCTGCAATATTATATAGATCATAAATTAAAAAAACACAAAATATGACATCCAAATACAGCAAACAACAAAATTTATCGTATTCTGCTAATAAGAATCCTATTCCTTGTAAAACGTTCGGAATACAATGATATGGCTGAAAGAATATTTATTATTATTATATATAATAAATCAGTAAACCTGTACTTTTTCTAAACATTTTCATGTTATTATACAAAGCCTGTTAATAAGTCACTATTTTTTATTTGTAATTAAAGTTCGGCTGACTGCAAAGAAATGCTACAGTCTATTTTCTATTTTATCAGTATATGCCTAATCATTGTACGCACTCATTATACATGAAATAATGTCTATAACGTTTGGCTATGCAATTGTGATACATGTGAGACCTTTTTAGCCATCTCTCTCTCTCTCTTTCTCTCTCTCTCCCTTTCTCTTTCTGAATCTGTACATCTATCTTCCTCTACCTCTATCTATCTTTCCATTTATTTCACTATAAATTTAACCTCTGTAAGTAAAAACGTAAGTATTAGTAATACTTGGGGCACAGGTAAAAGTTCAACGTCCAAGTACCCGTTGGGTGTCGCGGACGAAAGGTCGATTTACAATATTTTTTTAAAAATAATATTCTTAATCAAAAATCCATGTTTACGCCTGGATTCGAACCCAGAACCACTTGTGTGGCACTTTACAATCGGACGCCCTATCTACTCGCCCACCGCGGTTATGTAGTCCGAGGGATGATGACCATTTAGTTCCTTGATTCTATTTTCGGTATCAGAAATATCTACCACTTTTTCACTCACGGACACTCTGGGCCAAGGTATGGTCTTGAAGAAGAAAACAAATTTAGTTATTACTGCCGAGCTTTCAATCTATTTTAAGGTCATAATCACGGCAAAACAATCTCAAATATGTCTACAGATTGACATATTTAAGTTCTTTTATAATTGATCTCAAATTTCCTTAAAGACCGACTCAGTCCAAACATTATTTACACATTACATTTTCGTAACTGTCTTTGGCAATGTTAAAAAACTAAATATGTCAATCTGTGGACATATTTAAGATTGTTTTCCATGATTATAACCATAACATAGGTTGAAAGCCTGGCAGTAACATATGAATTTGCTTTCTTTTTCAAGACCGGAATGTTCTTCCTAGATTCCACACAGAAGATAAGAAAATGCAATTTCGGTTTGTTGTACTTGGCATACTAGGCTAATGTATGTAGATCAGATATCCTAGTACAGCTTGTGGAGTCTGTTGGGAACTCAAGAATCTGTACTTTTTCTCTGTACCGAGGCGGTGTGGGTCTTAGTTTGATCACCAGCACAAGGACGTCCCGTATTTCCCCTGAGCCGTTAAAAGGTCATGAGGATCTTTAACGTCCATATCTAGCCTTCAGGACGTTTTGATTCTCTAGATGAGAGATGAGGCACCTCTGCTCGGGACTGGATGGGTGTTACAGCAGCAAGTGTTGGTGTAAAAGCCGCCCCGGCTCCGAGGTGCCGAGACGGACCTCACTCTCCGCTTGTCCATTCCGAGAGGATGGGGCTGCATTAAGCACCAGACCGGGTGCCGCTCGGAAAGGGTAACCCCAGCTGGCTGAAATGCATCAGCCTGGGTCGTCCCGCCGAGCTCGCTAGATAGAGAAGGCCTATCTCCCAGAGTATTGGGGCTCCTCCAGCGTAACTTCCGGATCCGCTCCGGCCGTGATTTTGTTTAAAGTGGAATGTCTAACCACACCCTAGAGGAACACTGCCCTCGGAAGGATACCGCTAACGGTACCTCGGGCAACAAGTTCACACTAAGTTTTCGCCAGGAGCCTCGCCACTAAGCCACTACGAGTATATTTTCTTCCTGCCTTGGCCACACTGTACCACCCATTGTCACCGTAGTCCCACATTTAATGGGGTATGGCTCCTCTGGGTGGATAACCAGCACAAGGACGAAGAAGGTAGAGGCACAGGCTTTATCTACTTATAGATGACTTATCAATAAACAAGCTGGAGTCTTCTGGCAAAATTAAAAATACCGCCAGTTGTAGACTCCAATTCTAAAGAATACGAAATTGATTATCTTAGAGTATGGCCCGCAGGTGCTTTTACAACATCGATCTGCACTAATGGCACAGTAATCTTAGTTTTTGTTTATTTGATTCTTATCTTACTAGTTGCTCTGAAGTGTACAATATTAAAGAAGAGTAGATGACAACTATCCATAACTTTCTTACCCCAAGACATAAAGCGTATTAGTCGATTAGTGAACAGTCAAGTCCATTTTTTTTCCATTAACTGTCTTTGTCTCTTCATTGGTTTAGTTTTTCCATTAGCAACTGCATCCAATTTCCTAAAGAAGGTGAGTACGGCAATATTATAAGCGTAAAGGGTCAGTCGTACGTTCTTTGACCCTCTCCCTTGCCAGAATAGAAAATAACACGACAGTGGCAGATAGTTTCATCCCTGCAACCTACTTGTATAGTATTGGTCTGAACTTATGAAACGTACAGTCACATTTTTTTCGGTTGGTTTTTCTCTTCCATTCATCGTTCAATTTTTCAACCCCGAGAACCATAAAGTCTATTCTACTTAATGCAACTGCATAATACCCATCT